ACACATGATATTATACTTTTACATTTAAGGTTTAAGAAAAATGAATTGCAGCATATTTTTCAACATAGAAAACTTAAGAACATTTTCTCTCAAAAAAAGTTCCCTGTATGAACTTTTCCCTGGATATACCTATGTTTGACTCAGGACTGAGCTTGCTTGGCTATGCTCTGCCGATCTATATGTCATTGGATACCTATAATGGATTAATATGGTCCCACATTGCTCTTAAATCTTTTATTAAATGTGAGTTTTATCTCTCTACTGCTATTCTGTCCTTGAAACTGGCTGGAGTTGGTGACTGGGCCTAGTTGAAGCTGAGATCAGGAAATTCTCTGCTAGGCAGATCGTCAGTCAGTGGGGCTCTATTTCTATGAGCAAAGGGGTAGTGTTTATATGTGATTCAAGTCACAGGGAAGCATAGGAACATTTCAGTCTGAGACCAGCCCTAGGTAAACATATGAAAAATAACTAAAGCCACAGTGGGTGGGGGATGTGTTTCAAGTGGTAGAGTGCCTGTCTAGTGGATGTGAGGCATTGCGTTCAACTCTAGTATATGTAGAGGGAAAACACCTTGTCAATTAAAAAAAAAAAAACCTTAATCTTTAGAACACAAAATGTTGGAATACTCCTTGGATTCTGTCCATGTGGTCTAAGATGTTGAGCATACATGTAGAGGGGCCATGCAGAGGAGAAGTGATAAACTCCAACTCAATGTTCCTTGCCGACTGCTACCCTCTTTGCCCAGCCTACTCAAACCCCAGCCCTAGCCTATGTGTACTGAAGCGGACCCTTGGAGAGCTCCCATAATCATGGGAATGACAAAACTCACTGTTATTGCTGTTTTCATTCACCAAATTTCGGAACAGAGAAAGAGAGTCAAGGATTTAGTCTCCTTTTCTTGGAAGGTCAGAATGGAGGTTGTCCTCATTTAAGGTCATTTTAAACAGCTTTTGCATTTTATTTCAATTTTCCTTTGCTGATTTTTTTTGTACTACAGTATGTTATTTGAGGCCACAGATAGAGCTCTTTGCATGTACCCACATCTATTAACACATTTTCATGCATGTGGAATTCTGATGACCTGCCTTTCAGATTGAATTACATACAAAAATAAATAAATTCAAACACCAGATCTTCTGATATAAGGCTAATCTTTTTGTTTGTTTTGTCTGTTGTGGGGCTTGAACTCTGGGCCTGGGCACTGCCCCTCAGCTCTTCAGCTCAAGGCAAGCTCTTTACCACTTGAGCCACAGCACCACTTCCTGTTCCTGAGTGGTTTATTGGAGTGGTTTATTGGAATCTCAAGGACTTTCCTGTCTGGGCTGGCTTTGAACTGTGATCCTCAGAACTCAGCCTCCTGAGTGGCTAGGATTACAGGTCTGAGCCACCTGCACCCCTGCTAAAGCTAATCTTAAAGATAAAAGAATTTAAAGTAGCATTAATAACCAATACAAAGGGGCTTACCCAGGTTTACACAGAAATTTTTGAAAATGGTCTTTGCATAGTTGGACAAAGGTGTTCTGATTGAACACATCAGAATTAACTATCAATTGTTTGTTTAAACTTAAAACTGAAATACTGATTATTGTTAGAAATACAGTGGTCTGTGACATGTGAACTGCAATTTAAAAAATACCCTCGTTAAAAATAGAACTTATTCTCCAAGTCAAGTATATAGGCAGTCAACAGATGGGAGTGGAAAAGTGGTAGTCTGGAAAAATACCGTAAAAATGAAAGTTAACATGACAGCATGCGCCTTCTACTCACTTCTAACTTTATGCATGTGCTTGAATGAATAATCACACCATCCACACTTAACTAAAATGTTCTGAGATAGGGGCTGCAAGCCAAGCAGACCACCAACTTGTGTAAGAACTGTAATACACAATCCAACTCAGCATCCTGGATTCGGTAAGCAGAATGATAGCACCTCTATTTCTTTCAGGATTTTTTTTTTTTACAGTAGAAAGGAACATGTCTTAATACAATAGAAACAATTTTTAATTCCAAGTACACTTTTAGGGTTTTGTGTTTACTTTTCATGTTTACATTGATTCCTAGATGGGGAAATGCAGCTTTCTCAAACAGTACTCCAAATTCTTTAACTTGCGGACTAAGTCATCCAAGAAAGCTTCTCTGTTCCATTCCGTTCCGTTGCTTCCTGGAGTTCCTATTTTGTGTAGTAAAATAATGGAATGAAATACATAGTAAAAAATGGAAAATATAAAATGTGTGTATGTGTGTGGGGGCGGAGGAGGGGCAGGGAATTACATCCCTTGCTCCCTAGATTGTTAAATTTCACTGAAACAAAACTTAAAGGTGATTTTTAATATAAAGGAAACGTTGAGTCTAGCTATCTATAGCTATCTATGTAAACGGTCTATCTATCTATCTATCTATCTATCTATCTATCTATCTATCTATCTATCTATCTATCTATCTATCTCATTTGTGTTATCCTTTTCTGAGTCGCAAAGTGATTCCCACATGCATTATAGTATTAAACTTTATTTATGAAGTCATACATCCTGTCTCTATTGTTCAAGTCCCTTTTAAATGAGTAGCACGGGAAGGTTAAGGCAAGACTCTTCACCATCAAATCTATGTCTTGAATTTCAAGTGCAGTCCTTAAATGACAAAGCGAGGAAAGGGGAGGGAGAAGGAAGGTAAGAGGAGGAGGGAGGGAACTAGCTAGCTAGGAAGGCCTGGGAGGAGGGGGGGGGGAGAGGAGATTGGAGGGAGGAAACAAAGATGGGTCAGAGGAGCTGGGGAAGAAGGAAACAAGCAAATACCATGTGGAGTCCACAGTCTCACCCAAACATGTGGGTGTAATCTAGGCTGTAACAAAGACGTGGCCACAGTGTTTCTTTGGGGGCATTGGAGGGGCTGTTAGAGCCCATGTTGCATGTGCACCTGTCACCTTATCTAAGTCTTCTTTCTGAAGCTATTGGGGGGGGGGAGGGTGTCCAGGTCCTGGGTGGGCAGGGAACGCTGCTAGGCCCCGCTCGGGTCCCTAAGGCGGCTACAGGTTTGCGGGGTGCGCCCCTCTCCAGATGTTCCGGGGAGGAAGAAGTCCATCCTCCGCCAGAGAGTTAGCCGGATCCCTGGGTTTCGGGGGGGGGGGCCCTGGCGGGAGCAGGAGGCCTGGTCGGAGAGGGACAGGGAGCCCTCGCAGCGACCAGAAAGCACGGAGCGCGGGCGTGCCAGGCGTGGGAAGGAGGGGAGTGGCGTGGCCAAATCTTCAACCAGGGCCCCGGGTGTATTGTTTTTTTTCAGACCCAAGTGGAGCTGCTTTGGGTGTCCACGGTGGTTGTCCTCTCTAGAAGCTTCCCTGGCCTCGCTTGGGGATCCTCTGCCTTCCTTCCCCCCACCCCATCTCACCCCCCTCACGTACCTGGCCTCGGCGCAGGACTCGCGGCCCCGGGGAAAGCTCTCGCCGCGGGTGGGACCCAGCGAGCCCGGGTCGCCGCCGCCGCCGCCGCCACCGTCACCACCACCGCCACCGCCCGCCTCTCCGCGCTCTCGCACCCCGGCGGCGACACCATGCAAGAATCCCGGAGAAACCCGAGCGCAGCCGGCGACTTTGCCTCCGGAATGTCTTTTGGGTGAGACGAGAGGGGAGCAGGTGGCCCCGTAAAGAGATGATCCGTGCAGCCAGGGAGCCCCGACACCCTCCCCACCCCAGCAGCGTCTTCGGGGGGCGCCTCGCCTCCTCCCTCCCCGTCCCCCCTTTCCCCGCTCCTCTCCAGGCTGGAGTCCGGTTGGGTTGCGGTAGCGTTGCCCCCCCTCGCCCCCCGCCACGTCCCTCCCGGACGCGGGGCTCCGGGGGCTCCCCGCACGTGGCGGGCACCGGCATCGTCTCTGAGGACCGCAGGCCACAGCCCACGGGGAGCGGGAGCGGGCGACCCGGCGCCAGCGCCGCGCCGCGCACCTCCGCCCGCGCGCGTTCTCCGGGCGCCTCGCCCCCTGGCCCAGCCCGGCTCAGGACTTGGGCTTCGCCGCCTTGCACCCTCCGGAATTCAAAGGCACGCCAGCCTCGCGGTGCTCCGGGCTGGGGGGTGGGGGGCGATGCTGCCGTGGGTTCGCTCCTTCCCTGGCCGGCGGGGGTGGGGTGGGGTGGGGTGCGGGGAGGGGGGGCAGGATGGTGACATGAACCGCGGCGCGTGAGAGCGTCACGGGAGGCAGGGGCCGAGATTGATGGGCAGAGCGCTGACTTCGCGGCGGATCTCATCCCCAGGACCGCGCGGGGAAGCCACGGGCTCCGCGCCCGCACTTGCTCCGGCTGGGCTCCGCGGACATCTGTAGCCTCCTGGCCTCCGGGCTCCCGGGTCTCCCCGCGCGCACCTGCCTGCCTGCCTGCCTGCCCGGGAGTGTTTATCCAGGAGTTTGTGCACCTCTAGCCAAACAATCCTGCCCTGGATACCTCGTCTCTGGAGCAGACCCCCGCCCCCCTCCCCGTCCCCCCCACACCGTCGGTGGAGTCTTCCGACACACTGGCTCCCGCGGCCGCGGCGCCGGGAGTTGAACTTGAGTTCAGGTGGGTGATCTGGGGTAGCACCAGGGGAGATGTCCAGCAGGTAAGACTAGGAAGTTCATGATGCTTCGCTGTCAGAAGCAGACACCGAGTTTCCTGACACTGGATGGGGCCAGGCCACTCCCTCTCTTCCACTTTGGCTGCTAACCTGCCCCTCCCCTGCCCACATCTCCTACATTACCGCCGGAGAGGGGAGGGGAGGGGGGAGAAGGATCGGGGTCGGAGGGCAAAAGGCAACCACAAACCACTTCCCACTTATTGAAGCATCTAGCGTGGTATTGCCCTGTTCATCATTTACCACTCGTCTATAAAACGATCATATTTACTCCACTGCTTTATATTAATGGAGGGTCAATGAGACTTAATGATTTCCTCGGTGGAGTCATTTCTTTCTAAGCCAATAGATAATGCCTTCGTCATAGTTTTCTAAGAGGGGGAGAAAAGTAACTGTGCGTTTGTTCTGCAGATGGCCAACTCCCTCGGAATCGTGCAGACTTGGTGCTGAACACACAGCAAAAGTTTGTAGCTTTCTCCTCAGTGGCTGGTGTTTGACCAGGGAGAGGAAACGACTTTGGATCTAAACCACAAGGAGCAGTCAGAGAACGGTCTCTAACTTTCTTCTCGGTTACCATTGGCAATGAAGAGGAAACAGAAGAGATTTCTGCAGATGACTTTGTTATTCATGGTGGCTTTAATTTTCCTGCCCAATATTGGTCTTTGGTCTCTGTACAAGGATAAACACCTGGTGAAATCTACAGAGCCTGGGGAGCAGCAGGTAAGTGGCACCTAGAGAAAAAAAAGATCTCAGGAAGATGGCTAGAGCATGAAGTACCTATCTGGGCACCTGAGGAAAGAAGCTTGTTATCTTTAGCCTTGGGTTCTTATCCCAAGTTATTACAGAGCTGATGTTTGTAAGACGAGAGACTTGGAGCTTTAGATTGGCACTTGTTTTAAGATTGCAGCTGATAACATAGTGAAGCTATGAAATAAAGTAGGAAAGAGTAGGAGAGAATGGTCAAAAGGAGAAGAAGGTCCCCTTTTACACTGGTGTTTTAGCTTATTTTAGCTTGAAGTGCATGAAAAGTAGTTCTTTATTTGTGGGAGGTGGATGAAGGTTTGGTGCAAGTTCAATTACCATGCTTGGTGTTTGCCTTCTTGTCTTGTTTGCCTGTCGCTATGAAAGTTAATTGAGCCAACTAAGTCACTAAAATTGTGAAGTAGTTTTCACAAAACCAAGCTATAGCTTTCTATGTTATGGCTGTATTTTTCCCCCCTCACCATGGGTTTTCACCTTGTGGAAACTTAAAAGTCTCTCCCCTGATGCTAAGGTAGTATGGCAGGGTCTATAGCCAGAGTTATTAAGAATATCCATTCAGTTTCACAGTCTGGTGGGAACAGTTTGTTGCTAAAAGCTTTCTTCCCTCTTGAAAAGACCATTCAGGATGATAGAATTTTTTGTTTCTTTCTGCTTAGTATGTAACACATCTGGAGATACATGGATCATGACAATGTGTACAAACAACTGTCATGAATAAGAGTGCAAAATGTCCTTCAGAAAATACTAGGGAAAATACATATTTTAATTATTTTCCTTATTAACCTATAAAACAGGTGTTGTAATCAAACTTTGAACAGTGGAATGAAGCCTTGTTCATGAAGTTGAAATAATACCATTCTCATTAGTCCTGAAGCTCACTTTGGAATATTAATATTTTTAATTTCAAGGGCCATCACCCCTTTGTACTATGCACTTTCCACGTATAAGTGTTAAGTAGTCTCTTTCTGGACAACAATAATATATATTAATGGCACTTGAATGTTTGTTCTTATACTTAACCATGTTTAATTTCCTTTTTACACAGTGAGTAGTTAGTTGTAAAGGATATGGAGGTAATCTACTTTTTCATTATGACAAGAAGTCATTACTTATCTCTACACTTTAATGGAAACTAATTCCTATGCATGTTTAGTAGATTGAAGTTCTGAGGAGTATTTCCATTTAGTTGCTGATCTTCATCATCATTTCTCATAGGAATTTCACTGGGTTGAAGTCAATACTGTTTAATAATCCCTGTGTAAAGAAGGAGAGGAATTTTAGATGTGAAACTTCTTTTCCCTACTTATTTCTTCAAACTTTAATATAAAACAGGATGTTAATAGTAGTTATCAACACCCTATGCAAAGTTCTATCCCAATGGTGGTAAAATAGGAGGAACTTGTTTATACTTAGATTTTGCTAATTCAATTAACAATAGCCTTCTGAAGTATTTGCTGCTATCACTCACATAAAACTGTAATTAATCTTATTAATGAGATCTTTATGTTCACATTGGTTCTATTGATTTTTGACCCCTAATGAGAACAGTGTTTGTATACTGGCGTTAAAAAAATGAAATGTAGCAGTTCAATTCTCTGACTTGTCCTCATAATCTTCAAAGTAAGTTTTCTTGTTTCCAGTTCTTCTATAAATATCTGATAGCAATCCAGTAATGCATGGGAGAGGCACTAAAGTTTCTGACACTAGAGAGGAAGGGACACTCAGGAAATGCTGGGACTTAAAGCTATGGGAAAGTTTTGAAACCAAGAGAAGAAAAGGCACTGATTACTTTGAAATTAACTTTGACCATATTCTTTTATATTTATGACTAACAACAACTTTTTAACAGAAAAAAAGAAAAAGGACATGCTCCTGATTAATATTATAATTATTGGTCAAGTCATTAAATCATTAATATATTTGACTAAATGAACACTGACATGTAATGATGAATTAAACATACTTGATATGTTGATATAATATTTTGCTAATCTATTTGTATTTCAGTGGTCATAAACTGGCTCAAGACATAGGTTTTCAATTGAAGCATGTAAGTTGGCTATTGAGTTATTTACATTCAGGCAATTTATTTTTAAAACACCTTTTCAAGGCTGATTCCTACATGTGCTTCATAAGTCATTTGTTACTGCATTTTTCTCTAAGTTGTGAAATGCTGTAGACAAGAATAATATGTTGATTGAGGCACTGACATAGTCACTACTAAAGTTATTCAAAGATGTCATGTGCCTATAGAAGAGGTCTAGTTTTACAGCTGTTGTGTCTACAACAGCCAGGTTGGTAGGTATTATATATGGCATGCCAGTCATCATAAACTTGAAAACCCTTTACATTTGTACATAGTTTAATTTTTATAATTGGCTGCTGGAAAATAATTTTTGAAACTCAAAATCATGAAGTGGTAAATACTTTTTAAATGTCCTGAGCTTGTACTTTTCCAAATCACAACAGGAAATTTTGTTCTACCTACTATTTATTTTAAATTACACTTGATTTGCAATCTGAGATAAAGCCCAAAAAAGTTCACAAGAGAAAAACACTGACAAAACTTTTTCTCACATAGGTTAGTATTTAATATGCTCTTCCCCAACATTTAATTATTTTATCAATAATTTGTATTTTGTTTTATTTAACATGTAACATTTACAACAATTCTTCAGAATATTTCATGCATTTTCACCATCTATATAGTGGCAAAGAATATAAATTAAATAAAAATTCCAAATATTTATCAAAGTGATTTTTGCCTGTTTTTCCTTCTTAAATCTGAGAAAGATTGGTAAAATAGTTCTAATACCATAAGTCAGTTCAAAAGTTTTCTGGCTTTTTTGTTATTGCTTGAGCATCTTAAAGTTGAAAGTAGATTACTGAGATGAATATTCAACTTTTGAGATGTTCAAGATTTGATAAAAATTTCAATATTTTCTTTTAGTTATAAGACTATCATAATTATGCTATTTTCAGTGAATATACTTTGTCTTTTTGTTGCTATTGAAGTTTCTCTTTTAAATATATTTAAACATATGTATTGCAAAATGAGACAAATGAGTGTCATTTAACTGATGAAGATGGTTGTGTGATTGTTGTATGCTACCTTTTAATTCCTTTCAGTTTTAAACAGGAATGTCTACTCCTCTCTCCTCTCTGCTTTCAGATGCATGAACATTAAAGGTGTTAATTAAGTTGTAAGTTAGGATGATATATTGAATAATGCAACATTTTAAAACAAAAATACTGCCTCTGGTAGTATTATAATTCTCTTCCTAATCATTTGCTAAAGTGGATATAGAAATATACCACCCTAACACTTTATTTTCTCAAATACTTTAAATAGATTAAACAAACAATTTTTAAGTTATTGTTTGTTTAGACTTTAGATTGGAAACAAAATAAGTTGCAGTAATTTTCAGACTATTCACAACATAAAAAAGCTGCTGTGATATTTCCAGAATTTTACTTCAGACATTCTAAGAGTTGTTCAGAATGATTTCAGAAGCATCTGTCTGGTCTGCATGCTGTACATTGAACAAGTGACACACTGAGCCTTTTTGAACTTGTGGGGCATTGTTATGTTTTTGATTTTCAAAATGTCTATTTATAAAATAGAGCTATTCATGCTTGTCACATAATGAGATGCATAAGATCCCGAGAGATCACACCTTGGAAGGGAAAAATATTGTGAGGTAATGTTTTGGTTTTAGTCACAGGCAGAACTGTGCTTAAGTGTCACAGAACCTCCATTAAAAAAATAATAAATCTTTCCCCAGAGATTGCTCAGAATCTTTGTCCAACTCTTCAACCTTAATCAGCCCCTCACTTCAAGGGGACTCCTTTTGATGGGGAGCATTTTTCCGATGGCAGTTTAAACATGTTTGATAGTATACAAATATCAGATAATTGGCATGCAGAATATGCAAACTGGCCTATGATGTCTTTTCTCATGCTGATCACCAAAGCTGTAAAAGTACATCTTCCTTTCTCAGCAAACACTTCAAATATTTGAAGAGCTAAGGACAGGAAATAAAAATGAAGGTTTTTTCCCTCCTCTTCTGCACTTAGGAGAGTACATTCTCAGCACATTGGATGTGAAATAATGCATTAGTTTGAGCCATACTGTTCTTAATTAGCTGTGATGTAGATTTTAAATTAGGGTTTTAAAGGACCTTTTCTTGAATTTATGGAAAATCCATTCACAATCTCTGCAGGGTAGCACCGCACAGGCCACTGTAACAAGTGTCTTAATTATTTGCTGTGACCTAGTAGATCGCTACATGATTAGTTCATCACACTGCCCCATGGGAGACTGAGTGTGAAACACAGTCTTCTGTTTGCAATCTGGTACAAAATGAAAAAATGAGATAGTTTTTCCCCCCACAGTCTGTTCATTTCTAGACAGACAAGCTGAAGTGAATAAATCAGCCCCATCATTCTAGAATTTTCTCTGTGAGAAGCAAAGCCAGCTGAAATATGTAGACATAGAATAAGAAAGTTTGAGTGATTTAAGTGGTGTGGAACAGAAGATTGAGGGCATTTTATTATATTTTAAAAAAATTTCAGGAGTGGTCATGACAGTTTTTAGGACATTTGCAATCACATCTCTCTTTATAACATTTGTATACAGGTGGAACTTGCAAAGAAACATCGAGGATAATCTTATTTACAAGACAAGCTGGAATTAAAATAGGGCAAGCTCCTGCCATGGAAAAGGCATTTGGCTCAGCAATGGATATGTTGTGTTGCAGTCATTCCTATTGTGTCTTGCTTAGTTTGCTGATGATGGACAGTTTGAAGACAGAGTTTGTTCTTAAAACTATAAAGCAGGATTACTGGGTGCCAGTGGTCCATGCTTGTAATCCTAGCTACTTAGGAGGGTGAGATCTGGGGGTTGCAATTCAAAGTCAGCTAGAACAAGAAAGCCTGTGAAACTTATCTCCAATTAA